AGCAAACAACCAGGAGTACAGGGTCAAGATACCATGTAAATGCATCTTACAGCTTTTCACTCCTTAACTATTTTTCACATTACATGTCTTCAAACAAATATGTTAGTGGGTTTATTCTTGAAAACAAAAAACATATTTTTGAGAGAGGGACTGAAGAAACAGCCCAGTCCATAAACTGGATCAGACTATGGATACACAACTGAATTACAACTTCTTACTGAAAGACAGCACACCAATAGGGCTGCTGTTCGTAGGTAATGCGCGTGTACTCTAATACTCAAGGCAGAAAGCATCAACTAAGACCTTGGTCAAGACACACAGCAACCATTTACTTGCAAAGGCCAAGAACACATACACACACGTATGTCAGTTGCTGAGGCACCACACTGACCTGTATGAAGCCTGTTGTGCATCCAAGTCCCACTCTGGAGACACATAATCACTATCAGTTAGTATAGGGTCATCTGAAGTTAATAGCAATATGCAGATTTATGCTGGCTGAGGGCCTGATCCAAAATTCACAGAATTAGAGGGTGGTTGGAAAGGACCTCTGGAGGGCATCTGGTATTGAATTTTGAAAGACCTTTTGATAGAGCAAGATACAGACGCTTTTCTTGCTGATACCGTGTCCCTTAGCAAGAGACCAGAAAGAACAACCAATGCGGGGATATGTCAGCCATCCCAGACCGTAGTTGAACAAGATGCAGAAAAGAGGCTGCTTCCTATTTGGTGGTTGTATTTTATTTATTTAATGCCACAGGTAGGCCTGAAGCTTTACAAATTTGTCAAAATAAGGATAAAGCAAACAGCTTAGTGTAACAGGCAAATTCTACATGTGACAAGAATAATATCCCATATGGATGAACTAGGAGAGGAGGAAGGGGATGGACAGACAAGCAAAAAGAAAACAGGCTCGGGCAACTCACTTTTCCTTCAAGAGGAATACAAGGAGTTTGTACTGACATGTTATATCAATTTCCACGCTACTTTTTTGTTCTTACTTTTACCACTTCATTATTATTTGTTGTTAATCCATTGTTATTTTTCCACTGTAGCAGCAAAGCTCCTGATGAGAAAACAACAATGTTTTCTTACAGCTGCTGGAACTGGAGTAGATTTTTTCTGTTCAAACTGTCACTCTGCTCCAGCTGGTTGGCATGCAGATTTCAGGATTTGGTCTGGATCAACTACTAGTTCCCACTTGTGACAGCCACATGAAGCCTGGCAGAGCACTGACTCCAGCAGCCTGGCAAACCCTGACTAGCCAGTACTCACCTTTGCCGTAGGGATCACTGATTCATATTTTTAGCAAGTACTGTGGCCTACAACTTCTGAATCATTTAAATTACATACCAGGCAATGTCTCTTTTCACATTGCTTCATCTTAACATTCTGCTCCTACATTTTTAAAAGTACACTTTAATGATTCTCAAGTACTAATTCAAAACAAATTTTCTATGTAGAAATTAAAAACAATCTGAAACAGATTATGCATCATTATCCTGCCTGGCAGAATGCAACAAACATCATAAACCTATCTCACTCACAACACAGTAATGCAGCTAAAAATGGTCTTAGTGCTCTTAAAAGAAAACTTCCATTCAAGAGATGACTTACACAGTTGTGAGAAAAAGGTACAATTTACTGCAGCACAGCCCTGCCTAGAATGCTGGCTGAGGTTTCCATGGTTAATCTAAATTAAAATTAATTCCATAATTTTTTTTTGGCAGAAGGTCTATAAGCTAATTTTCATCTTTCTTCTTCAACTATAATTAAAAACGTAAGGAAAACATTTTGTATGCCTCTAGTATGAAGGTACATTACAGTAGGAATTTTTGTTTTCAAATGGTTACAACGCTCACATTAATCAACTCAAAATTAAGTGGGAAAGTAGAATATCATTATTGCCTTCCTGTGATTATACAGTTAACAATAAATATACCCCATGCCTACAAGGGGATAACACCCCGCATGCTAGACTTAGTTACTTGTTCTAAAAGGAAGTGAACCTTAATGCAGATCTCATCTGCAGTCACCACACACTTCTGTCACAAGAATTACTAATCAGTAACTCAGAAACAACAAAGAGGGCAAAGGCACCTAAAAGGCTTTTTACAGCTATATTTAAAAGATACTAATAGTAAAGATGCAAAATGTATAATACCAAAGGGAAACATAATTGCATGGAGTTTGGCTTCTGTTCACAGGCAAAATCTACTTTGTCTATATAATGAGCAGGTAGGTTCAATGTGAGAAATGTACAAGTGGTCCAGGTCTCTCTGGATGTGGAGACAGTACATAAGGCTCCAAAAGAGTCCTCTCAGCAGATTAAAACTACCCCAATTCCATAAAGGTCTCCTGATGACTTCCCAGCAAGCAGCCTGCAAGCACACAATCTCAGATTAAGGTCATTCTTATGAGCACTCAAAGGCAAGACATTACATTACAGACAGCTTTAATAAAAGCCCGAAGTTCACTGAATCATCATCTTGTCCACTTTAGCCTATCAAGTACATCCACTGTTTGCAACCCTTCACAAGTTCAGTTTCCTATCATGTCTTACTCTAATATAGACTTATTTCAAGATTAACTGAAAGAGCAGGAAAATAAACATGGAATAAAAACTCTTTCTATCACTTAGCTTTGAGAATTAGTCCTGCAACTCAGTGACACTTTGCTAACGTATGATTCTACAACTGCTACAGAGTGTGGTGAATAATCCCTCTTTGTGGTATTGTGGGTTAGATAAATCACATTTCACCTCTGGTGGATGAAGTACAAATCTTGATTTTGGAAATGCATTTGGGGAGGCAGGGAAGAAAATACAAGCACAGTGAATTTTCCCAAGGCCTGTTCAAATTCAGTGATCTCAGCCCCTCTCCCATCCTTCTCGCCCTTAAAGACTGACACTTGTAAACCAAATTAAAAAAAAAAAAAAGCTTTAGGTAAACTAAATAAAAAAAAAGTCTAAATAAACTAAATAAAAACTCGTAAACTAAATAAAAAAAAAATTAGGTTGCAATAATAAGCATGTGATTGAGAATTAAAGAGGAGAAGCAGCTTCCAGTGTGAATATTCAAGAGGGGGAAAAGATCCCCGGGTTAGATGAGGAAGGAGCCAAAACCAGAAGTCTCCTCATCTTCAGGAAGTAAAAAGCAATGGCTGGAAGAGGGGAACAAAGTGGAAAGTGAGCAATAACAATGCTCAAAGATGGCAGCTGTGTGAGAAGACCATAAACAAGCAGACAAAAGCATGTAAGATGAAGCAAGTTCGTTTGAATTAGACTCTTGGGCATTAAGCAAGCCAGAAATAGCAATAGTGCACAAGGGGGAAACTGTTCATTTTGTTAAAGAGAGGGCTAGGAGTAAAAATTTCTCATTTGCCATCGGCTTTCTGGTTAGTGGCAGGGATGTCACTCAGTCTGTGCCCCATCAATAGAGCAGGATATTGTGCAGAAAAGCCACAAATGGTTCAGGGGACAGTTAAGTAATAAGGGAAAGATATGAACCTACGCAGACAGCTATACTTAACAGATCCCTGATGAAGAAGAAAAATGTGAGAGAGGGAGACTGGCTGTAGTGACCTGATCCACCTGGATTTTAGAGAGCAACACAAACACTGCAGACCATGACAGATGGGGGTACAACCACAAGAAAGGGAGATAAACCCCTGACCAAGAAAAAGTTTGCCAACCAAGAAGGGTGGCAATGCACAGATACATTCAAATGACAAAGGTGACTAAAATTAAGAGAAGAACAAGTATCTGAATGAAGGAATACTCTGTAATTTCATGGAGGTGTTATTTGGGCACCAGCTACTGCTATGAATAGTGGGTACGTGTACTCCTATCAAATATACAAGAGAAAAGCATGAGAAAGTTATAGACAGAAAGAAATAGGTTTCTTTCTTGTGGGTGGAAGAAGCGAAGGGGTGGAAAATTCCTTCAAATATGAAGAAAATGGGGGAAAGACCCTTGCCACACACACAACTCCAGTCTAAAAAACTTGTACACTGGGATCCTTCCATTCAGATATGAGTTAGAAGAGAGAATGATTGGTACAAGTGGTTATTAAGTAAGATACAGGTAGCCACAAGATGAACCTCGTGTACCAAAAGAAGCAAGCAAAGGAGACAAGCAGTCTGCAAACAGACTGACTGGTTGCAAAGAGGATCAGGGAGGCAGAGGAGACAGATAGCTGAACAGAGATGAAATTTTCCCTGAGGGCACAAACAACCCTCCCGAATACATGAGTTTCTTTGAGCAGGTTTGAGCATACAAAGGGGACAGAAGGAAGTAGGGAATGGATGGCACTGAGGCAGCATGTGGTCACAGTGACAGTATTCCATTCTAAAATGCTGAGGAACTGCTGGAAATCATTACTATTCCTCTAGCCATTCCCCCCTCATCATTTGTTGCAACCAATACTTGAAAAAGAGCTTTTTAATAAATAAATGGCATATGTATAAGTTCTTGCTAACTCCAGCTTCATTCTTTGCTATTTATTATTTTCTGAGTGGTAACTATGACAAAGCAACATACGTTAGCTGTGGGAGGCATATCCCTTTCCCAAGCAGCCAGCTCCTGCCCTAGAAAGTCTCAAAGCACAGAAGAGACCATGGGTGGGTGAAAGCAAGTTATACTGCCCCATGTTACAGAATGAGAACTAAGGAAGAGAGCTAGTAAGTGATTTTCCCAGGATTTCATAGGAGGTCAGTGGCAAAACTGGATATTTAAACCCTCTCTTCAGCATCCATCTGGTGCTTTAGTCACAAGGGCAGTGCATCCCTTTTAAGGATGTTCTCTTTCATCCTCAGAATGTCCTGGTAGCAGGAGTCTTTGACTGAATGAATATATTGAGTTTATATAGCTTTAAGCCTTATTAAACCATGCTGTACTTTCCATCTCTATTTCCAGCTCCCTTGCAGTCACTTTTGGTCTGAGCTCAAAATTAGCTGTACTCCCAACTCCATCCACAAAGCCAACCTTTTTATCTACTTACAGTTCTGTTGGTGAAGTTACTGAAGTCTGTCACTAGGATTTGCTTGATCATGTCTGGTGTGGAGACCACCACAAACATCTGGCGACCAATGTAATACCTACAAAGAAAGAAAGCAGAGAGTCATTATAGCAGCTAATGACCGCCAGAGAACCATCTCGTTCCCTAAAATACCTCTTCTGGCTTGAAAATGCTTGACATGAACAGATATCTCAGAAAATATATTCCCTTGCTTAAAGCAGTACCTTTTCCCATCCCTCTCAACTATTAAATTAAGATGCATGGTCCTGGAATTTAAAGGAAACAGCTTAAAACCTTTTACTGATTAATCAATACTCAGCCAACATTTTAAAGTAAAGGTTTACACACTCTGTGCTCACTGTGAATTCCGTACAAAGTGATGTAGTATCACTAAGCCAAACTACAGAGGCAAAACATTAGAAACCAACAACTCAAACAATCACGACAGACCTACAGAACTGATTATCTTGCAGTTAGTCACGTGAAATGTCTTTCCATGGCAAAGCCTACTCCAACCCCACAAATCCTAGAGGTGCACCGGTCCCCTCTCCAGCAGCATTCTCCCCAAGTCCCATGGGTGCTCCATGCTCAGCTTTTCTTCAGGAAGAGGAAGAAGTACCACCAGCAACCAGAGGTTGCTGCAGTCCCCACCTTTGCTGGTTGCTGGACCAGAAAGACTATGCAGGCAGCACTGCCTTTGCTCTGCCAGGACAGAGGAAGAGACAGGCAGCTCAGAGCAGAACACAAGAGCAATACCACAGATGATGCAATACCATGGTAATATTGTTGCCTAATGATTTTACTATGACCTAGCTTAATATCAATATATTGTTTATCACCTGTCTACACTGCAGCAACAGAACAGACAAGCAAACCCTGGGCTGAATTAAATTTAGCAACTGGAGGTTCCCATGGCAATGAAGCTGCAGCAGCACCGGTTTCACTGAGGGCAAACAAGTCAGACAGATATCTTGATTCCAAAACAGTCCACCTTGACCCCTGTACCACCACAACTCACAACAAACGACAGAGAAGAACAAGAAAATAATTTTCTTCAGGAAGGAAGAGATGTTCTTTTCTTCTCTGGTGGGTTTCCAAAGGGACCTTTCATTTCCCAATCCAATCCACAGGCTCTGCTTGTACCTTAGTTACAGGTGGTCTATTAAAATAAACCTTCTTCACCTCTCCCAGTTTGCTAAGCCACAGCAAAGCAGCCATCTGTTAATGGTCGAACTTTTCTTTAGACTCCTAATAGGTGCATAAGAAAGAGCTGAGACCTCGTTTTAAAGAATGCTTTGAGCACAGTCTTTGGTAAAAGCAGGTAATGCCCTCTGTGACCCTTCTGCATGTACTTCGTACGACTTCTCTGGCGTCAAGGGTGAAGACCTGTGCTGCTCCAAACCTACCCAGCCATGAATATTGACCTCTCACACTCATGCCTTGCTTTTCTCTTCGCCTCTCCAAGTTTATTGACTTCCCTGTCTCATTTAGTGGTTAATGACTGCTTTTCACAGGGACCAAATCCCTATTGCCAGATTCGAAATCTGAATCAGAAGATACCCTGATAGCTTAACTCTGACCACCAAGAGGCACCACATGGTACCTCATGCAAAGCACATGTGTGTGATAGACAGACAGACACTTCTAGTTTATTTCAGCCTTGGGAAGTTGCAGAGCTCCAGATGCACTCCACTGGAATAAGAGGGCAGCACTCACTGTTGGAGCTCTTATGTCACAATGCTTGAAAGCACTCAGGACTAAAATTTGAGACAGGAGCATCTCCTACTCGAGCTGCTTTTATGGGAAAATGACTCACAAGCCAAGCTTATGTAAACAAATCTATTCATCATTCTCCAACTCAGACCAGTCACCCAAACTCCCAGTTCTGCTTCCACAGCTAAGCTTTCTTTTTTATTTACTCTTCTCTAAGTTTCTATTTATAGGCACCTCTTTTTCCTTTCTTTATCCATTTATAAAGAAGGGCATAGAAGAATGGGGAAAAAAATCCCCTAAAATTAATAAACTGAAAGTACTGAAAAAACACCTTCTATTTTCTTGTATTTGCTTTTTAAGCAAAGTTCTGCCTGTTTATAAAGAATGACTGCTGTAAAGCAGACAGAGGCTATCATCTTTTATTGTATCCCAAACAGCAAAAGCTCTCTTCCTGGCTTTTTTTCCATTGTTCTACTTCCTGTATATAATCTTTCTCACCTTTTCTAGGGCACAAAAAGACAGTGTGTATGGACATACTTTGCAAGTCAAAATCCACAAGCTAGGAGCATGACTTCCATGATCTTCCCCTGAAGTTAACAAAACAAGACAAATAGAGCTAAGCATGAAACAAGACCATCCGAGCTATTTCATTTAGCAAAGAGGTCCAGAACATACAAAGCCACCAGAAAGATGGTTTAACTGAGTTTTAAAATATTTTAAATCCTTTACAGGAATAAGGCCTCAGTCACAAACCAAGAAGCTATCTCCCAACAATCTCCCAACTAGTTTTTGTGGTTTGGTTTTTTTTCCATTTGTTCTGAAACGGCAAGTAAAAGATAAAATCCTCCTGAACAATAATCTCTTCTTTCCAAGTAAATAACATATTCACCCCTGCCATGTAACTTCATTTTGATTCTGTATCACTACATGAGGATATCACCAGTCTCACATAGGCTTAGATTTATTATTGAACAAAACCCGATATTCTTGTCAGATTTTAATAAATAAAAGTTTGAGAAAAACAAAAGCCTCCCGGCAAATACATTACAAATGGATTCATGAATAATTTAGGACAGTACTTTTTATTAACTTTCTCTAGGTTAATCTTTTCTCAGGGCTTGTCCACACACGGAAGTCATGCCTTTACCTAGAGTGATACAGTACCATTACACTGCTTGACCCAAACCTTTAATATTTTCATGTTCCAGGTGTAATGCAAACACTTGGGACTATCTAGCTCATTCCTGCAGAGAAACAAGAATGCATGAATGGTAGTATGGCATCCTCGGAGCGATACAACTCTGTCCACATGGGAATCTGTTGTAACACTGCCGTACTGGTAAAAATACATTTCAGAAGTTGAAGAAAAGGCAGGATGCCCTTCAGTGTATTTAGCAAAGGATTCACAGGTAAAGGGGTGGTTAAGTTATAGTATATTGAGTAAAGGAAGTTAATCTGCATCCAGAGTGTTTTAATAACTGAAGAGGCTACAAACACCTGACAGATTCAACTGCAGCAGTTTGATTTGTAAGAGTAGATAAGCACTAGTCTTTCTTACAGCAATTGATGAAAAGGACAGAGACTTGCATTCAGGTTTCACCCTAGATGTTTCAGTTCTCTTTTGTCATTTCATAAACATGTCTTCTCTTCCATTTGCAAGTATAAACAGCAATCCAACAATGATTTCTGTTGTTTTGGGCTTGCAACACCATTGCTTTTTGCAGAGATGTGGCACAGGTGTCTCAGTCCAACTCCTAGTGTCTGCCATGGCCAAGGCCAAGGAAGTTACCCCATGCAGGAGTCAGCATGGAGTTAAGTGATGCCTGCATGTCCAACTATTAGCTGAGGTAGGAGAAGTGACACAAGAGGCACACTGGACTACCCAGTCCCTCATGCAACACCCAAGCACATCACCTCCGTTTCCAGTGTTTGTGAGGGACCCCTCAGGAATGCAGATTTCTGTTCCTTAGGCAATGTAGATGATCAATCAGCTACTTTTAATTTGGAGGACTGATTTAGCATTATCCTTTCTGTGTCCCCAGGATCATTCTGGCTACAATGCATGGTCATCTGCTGTCAACATGTCCTGAGCCATGGCTGTGCTCTCTGACAAAAGCTCACAGCAACGCTGCCTTGCCACATAGGAAAAGATGGAGTGTGCACAAAGTACATAATGGCTAAGGGCCATATGCTTTTGTATAACACCCGTGTGGGAAACACCTGCAACCCTTTCACCTTGTTTATAGTGCTGCTGTCAATTCACAGAAGACTTTGATCTCCCTTATCTATTATCAGTCCCATGTATTACAAACACATCACATTATTCATAAAACGCATATATGCTGGTAGGCAATAAATGAGGCTTTGTTTTCTATGCTGCAGTCTGGCAAAGTACACAAAGATCATCTGGAAAGCTAAATGAAAATAGAAAACTTTATTATCTCTGTCTTCCTCAGGGAAGAACAAAGAAAGAACCAAAAACAAGGTGGGGGAGGTGAAGGAGAGATATGCAAATGCAGATACAGGGGAAAAGGCTAATATTCTTAAGAGACATTTTCTTAAAAAGAAGTTCCTCAATCACTCTGCCTCTTTTGTTTAGAGATACCCATCCACTGTGGGCAGAGAAATGCAAAAACAAATAGCACACTGCTTGTTTAAAATAGGACTGAAGCCTGGCATTACTTGCTTAGTTATTTCAGATGTCAGCAAATTGATTTGTCATGAGCACTGTCCCCTTCCAGCTCTTGCAGGCAATTCAGACCCTGTATGTTTAAGCAAAAGGAAATGAATGGCTGTAAAGCCCAACCGCAAAGCCCAACCCTTTATGGAAAGGGTTACTTTGGGAGGACAGGAAAGGGCAAGGGGGCAAAAAAAATTGTCAGGTACTCCGAGTCCCATTATTATTTGTGTTATATTAGCAGCTAGAGGCCTCCAAGGTCCCTGGGCTCTAGCTTGGCAGTAGTTACACATAACTAGAAGGCTCATTCCAGGTCTGCGGAGCCTACAATTTAAATGACCTGGAGTGACAACCAATGGGGAAAACAAACAATGTTCTCATTTTCTATCTGATGGACAAGGGGACAGGCAGGTACAGAGGATCCATGAACTGACACCATGTGAGAACATTGCTTTTCAGCTGCCACGTACACCTGGAAATCCCATATCAGCTTTCTTCCGAAAGTCTGCTGGGAAGTCAGGAGCTAACTACCATGCCACTTTTGCATTCCAGACTGTGACTCTACCTGGCAGGGTGCCTTTCCTGGGCTATTTTTATAAAGCACTGACAAGCTCAGTATCTCTGGATTGATTGATTGAGAACTGAGAAATGCATATCACCAGTTAAGAAAAAAACAAACTCCCCCAAAA